GCAGCGATTCGCTTAGCAAACGTGGCGAGGAAAGTCGTAAAATGGGGCAACCCTCGGTTATCAACTTTCTCACTTAGCGATGTAAATTTTGGGATCAATTGTGGTCATAAGTTGAGGATTATCTGTTAGAGAATAACAAAGGTTGAAGGGACCTTGGAGGTCTTCTAGTCCAACCCTCTGCTCAAGCAGGAGATCCTATACACCATTTCAAACAAATGCTTGTCCAATCTCTTCTGGAAAACCTCCAGTGTTGGAGCAGCCACAACTTCTGGAGGCAAGTAGTTCCACTGGTTAATTGTTCTCACTGTCAGGAAATTTCTTCGTAATTCTAAGTTGCTTCTCTCCTTGATTAGTTGCAGCAGCAGCCAAAAAAGCCAATGCAACCCTAAATTGCATTCACAGAGGGACACAATCGAGATCAAGGGAGGCACTAATACCACTCTGTAAAGCCTTAGTAAGGCCACACCTAGAATCCTGCAATCCAGTTTTGGTCACCACACTATAAAAAAGAGGTTGAGGCTCTAGAAAAAGTGCAGAGAAGAGCAACCAGGATGATGAGGGGACTGGAAGCTAAAACATACGACGAACGGTTACAGGAACTGGACCTGGCTGGTCTAGGGAAGAGAAAGACCAGGGGAGACAGGAGAGCATCTTCCAATATTTGAGGGGCTGCCACAGAGAGGAGAAGAGGGTCAAGCTATTTTCTAAAGCGCCTGTCAAGGAGAGACTCAACCTGGAAATAAGGAGAAACTTTCTGACAGTGAGAGAACAATCAACCCATGGGACAGAAGTTGCCTTCAGAAGTTGTGGGAGCTTCATCCCTGGAGGATTTCAAGAAGAGACTGGACTGCCATCTGTCAGAAATGGTGTAGGGTCTCCCGCTTGGGCAGGGGGTTGGACTAGATGACCTATAAGGTCCCTTCCAACTCTGATTATCTGTTATCTCTTAGTTTCCATCCATTGCTTCTTGTCCTGCCTTCAAGTGCTTTGGAGAATAGATTTCAATTATCTTCTCTCGGCCTTCCTCACAGGGTTGTTGTGAAGTGGGGAAAGAGGAGGAGAAGGGGAGGCAGTGCTGTTTATGCTGAGGTCCCGAAGGAAGCTGCGATATAATTCTAAAAAGAAAATTAAAGATGGTAGCTGTTCAGATATTGGGACAGGATTGGGCAGACACCAATTTGTTGTCCGTCCAGCCTACCCTACAAGGCTGTCGTTGGATGCGAACCAGGCTTTAATTGCATCGAAGTTGTGGGCGTTCCGTCCCTGGAGCTCTTTAAAAAGAGACTGGACAGGCATTTGTCTGAAAATGGTACATAGGGTTTCTTGTTCGAGCAGAGGGTTGGACTAAATGACCTACAAGCTCCCCCTTCCAACTCTGATTATTGTTATCTGACCTCTAAGGTCTCTTCCAATTCTGTTCTTCTCATTTTCCTTCAGCCCCAGAGCCACAGTCCTCCCTCCCTCCGGCAAAAGAACACAACATTCTAGTTACACCAAGGCAGATCTTGAACATTTGGCCACAGAAGCCCATAAGGCACACCCCCTCTGCTTCCATCGTTCTCAGCTTTCACTAGAGACCAAATGTCATTGCCAGGGAAACCAGAGAAGAGGCAGACAAGCTTCTGATATTGTACCAGGGAGTTAAAACTTTAAAAACAAAACAAAACAGCATTTTGAAGATGCGTGAGAAGAATAGAGTTGGAAGGGACCTTGAAGGTCTTATAGTCCAACCCCCTGACTGAGCAGGAGCTCTGGATCAAGAAGACACCTCGGGGGTTGGACATGTCCTCCGAGAAGGTCAGAAATAGTCATTATGTGACTCCCAAGACAGTGCAACTGTCGTAACTACAAGTTGGTCAACAAGTACCCAAATTTTGATCAGGTGACTGTAGGGATATCGGCCGTAAGTGTGAAAACTGGACATAGGTCTCTTTTATTCCGTTGAAGGTGGGTGGACTTCAACTCCCAGAATCCCCTAGCCAGCCTGGACAAGGTATTATAAGCCAGTGGTGGCTAACCTTTTTGGGGCTCCTGTGCCAAAAATTGTGCACACGCCTGAGCGCGCATGCTCCAATGCCAGCACCCAGAAGGCAATATGACCCCCACATCCCCTGCGCGTTTGCGTGCAATCCCCCCCTCCCCCCCACTTTACCTGCACTGTGCCTCCCAGCTAATTTTCGGCCCGTTTGAGGCCTTTTTTGGCCTCCCAGAGGCTTGAGGGAAGCTTCTGCAGGCTTTGCGGGTCGAAAAATGGGCCCGTTTTGTCACTTCCAGTATTTCCGGAAATACAGGAAGTTGACGAAACGGGGCTATTTTTTGGCCTGCAAAGGCTTTCCTCAAGTCTCTGGGAGACCGAAAATCAGCTGTGAGGTGCGCATGTGTAGTGAGGTGAGTTTGCCTGCGGCTCGCATGCTGTCACAAATGGCTCTGCGTGCCATAGGTTCGCCGGGGCCAGTTCCTCCTTCCCAAATGCGTCCTTACTCTCTTGCCAAGCATCGGTGTTTGGGGGGGGGGGGGGGGGGGACCACAAGGAAGTGGCCAAGATCGTAAGCGCGAAAATTTTTTTGTCGTGAGTCTCAATTTCTTTCAGTGCCGTTGTAACTTCGAAAGGGTCACTCGATGAAGCATTGTAAGTCGAGGACTCGCTATAAGAGAGCAGTCCTGAGGGTTTCAGGAGAAATGCATCCAGCTTTCCTAATAATGTATGGAACTGGTTTTTTTTTTCCCCCCAGATCTCTTCATTTGGAAAAGTTTTCAGCATGTACCTCTTGATTTTTGGCCTAAAGAGCAGAGCGTTGGCTCTCCGAACGGCATTCGCTTAACAACCGTGTATTCGCTTAACAAAATGAACAATATTTCAGCGACCTTGATTTGTTGCTGTGTCTTTATTTCAACGCCTTCGGCATTCTTCTTTTTTCAATTTTGTATTTGTAGACAAATTCTAGACACGAGACAAATTCCTTGGATGTTTTAACCACACTTGGCCAAATAAAGTGTTCTGTCCTGCCCTGTCCTATCCAGTCCAGTTCTGTCCTGTCTTGTTCTGTCCCATCCAGTCCAGTTCTGTCCTGTCTTGTTCTGTTCTATTCTGTTCAGTTCTGTCCAGTTCTCTCCTGTCCAGTTCTGTTCTGTTCTGTTCTGTCCAGTTCTGTCCTGTCTTGTTCTATACTATTCTGTCCTGTCCTATCCTGTCTAGTTCTGTCCAGTCCAGTTCTTTTCAGTTCTGTCCGGTCTGGTCCAGTTTTGCCCTGTCCGGTCCAGTCCTGTTCAGTTCTGTCCTATCTTATTCTGTTCAATTCTGTTCTGTCCTGTTCTATTCTGTTCAGTTTTTTTCAGTTCTGTGCTGTCCAGTTTTGTTCAGTTCTGTCCTGTCCTGACCAGTGCTGTCCTGTTCAGTCCAGTTCTGTCCTGTCCTGACCAGTGCTGTCCTGTCCTGACCAGTGCTGTCCTGTTCAGTCCAGTTCTGTCCTGTGCAGTTCTATCCTGTCCAGTCCAGTTCTGTTCAGTTCTGTCCTGTCCTGTCCTATATTGTTCTGTTCAATTATGTTCTGTTCTGCCATGTCCTGTTCTATTCTGTTCAGTTCTTTTCAGTTCTGTCCTGTTCAGTTATGTGTTGTGCTGTCCAATTTTGTTCAGTTCTGTCCTGTCTTGTCCTGTCCTGTTCAGTTCAGTCCTGTCCTGTCCTGTCCTATTCTGTCCTGTTCCATGCTAGATGGTCATCAGCCGAGAGTCTTTGGATTGTGGTGGTCTAGAAATACACCTAATAAGTAAATCCACAGACTGCTCTCTCCCACGCCAAGGGGACTTTTATGGAATATAAATAGCAAATACATCTCATGCTCGGGGGTGTGCAGGCCAAATTCCAATTTAAGTGCTTATATTAAAAATGATCTTTTCAAAAAGTCGGGGAGGGGACGAGGGCCCCGGAGAGCTACCAGATCAGGCGGCTGTGGACTACAGTGCCCACGTACACTGGGCTTTGTAGTCCGTAATGGAAAAGAGGGAAGCCGCTTGTGGTGACCTTGAGGCTGAGGGAGAAAAGTTGAAGGCCGAAGAAAATGGACGCCTTCCTTCTGTCACCTGATGATGAGGTGGGCAGCCTTGCAGGCTGTCCTCAACTTACGACCGTTTGCTTAGTGACCGTTTGAAATGACAATGGTGCCAGAAAAAAGCAAATTATGACCGTTTTTTTTTTCACCCTTACGACCGTTGCCTCATCCCCTTAGTCAAAATTGATCCAAATTGGGAGACGCATGGCAGCTGGCCCACATTTACGAGGGTCGCAGGAGTGTTCCCGGGATCACGAGATCCCCTTTTGCGACCTTCCAACAGGCCAAGTCAACAGGGGGTGGTGGTGGAGAAAGCCAGATTCACTTACTGACGTCACAACTCCGGGGATTCCTTTAACGACGGTGGCCAAAAGGTTGTAAAAAGGGGGGCAAAATTTACCTCACAAATGTCTCGCTTAGCAGTCGAACATTTGGGGACCAGTTGTTGTAAGTCAAGGACTACCCTGTCGAAACACCCTTCACAAACGTCTTGCTTAGCAAGCAGAAACGTTGTGCTCCCGTTGTCGTCGTAAGTCGAGGACTAGCTCTATCTATCGAACAAACCAAATAAAACTGTGCGGCCCGCGTCGTTCTACCATTCGGACGTTCGACGGCCATCTCAATCCCGCAGGATTTTTTTTGGGACAGGCTGTCAATGGCTTGTAAATGTCGCCCTTCCGATCTCATATTTATTTATATTTATCTATAAATATAACCTGCACATATGTTAGGGCTGGGAGGCGTCTGGGACAGCAGATCAGGTCCAGACCCGGACAGAGAGGTGGGAGGCTCATCGCTTCCCTCCATGGTGTCCGTCCCAACACGAAACTGTGAGGATTATTTGCACCCCAGAGAAGGACACGGCGTACGTGCGGCGAGACAGATGATCTTTTAATGCCCCTCTGTTCTTCATTGCAGGATATGCGGAAGCATGTCACCATGACCCTGTTGGACACAGAGCAGTCCTACGTGGAGTCTCTCCGTACCTTGATGCAGGTAAACCATCTTTCTTGGCAGGGGTGGGAATAGAAACGCCACAGGTATCCGGAAACAAGCAGAGATGCTATTATAAAAGTCCATTTGCAGCTTGTTATATCATTCGCACAAAGGATTGAATTGAGTTGAATGCTTGGCAACTGACTCACATTTATAAAGGTTGCAGGGTCCCCGGGATTCCATGATAATCCCCTTTTGCGACCTTCTGACGAAGCTGTGATGACCCAACAGGGCGTGGCACAAAGCCCACATAGTCAGATAATCAGTAGGAATCCGTTTCTTAGCTCCAACTTTGCCCCCAATGTCCTGGTTACCTTCTGGGTTGGAGAAAAACTCTCCCAGGAACAGCCTTGGGCTGCAGAGAATCAAGTCCAAAACATGGTCAACAAAAACTGTAACTATAAGTCCAATCAAGGCAAAATTAGGTAATTAGTCCAGCAGGGCAGGAGCAAGAATTTCAGACGTGAAGGCACAGCAGTAAATTCAACACGGTTGGGAAGACACCAGGAACACAGACAACCAAAGTCAACACAAGATAAACTCACGTTTGTTCCCAGCAGCTGCCGCTCTCAGTTTGCGTCTTTTTAACTCTCTTCCCAGGTGTGGCTAATGAAGGGAATCGGGGCCCTTTCCTCCCCCGTAAGGCACGCAACCCATGTTGCTCCCTTCTCCGTTCTTCCCTGTATGCCCTAGGATGAAGAGGGGATGGGCCTGGGTCTTCCTCCAAATTCCCTCTCCCTTGTTCTACCTCTTCCCTGCTCTGCCCAGCTGGCCTTTGCCCTTCCCCAGCCTCCTCCACAGCCAACGGAGCCACACTCCCTTCTCCCTGTCGGCTGTTCGTCTTCCTCCTCAGATTCAGACGCCAAAGGGGGCATGACATAAGCAAAGTCAGTGGGGTAGCCAGATTCGCTTAGCGACCATGTTACTGACTTAACAACCACGGTGATTCACGTAACAACAATAGCAAGAAAGGTTGTAGAACGGGAAAATTCACTTAGCGACTGTTTCGCTTTGCAGCAGAAAGTTTGGGCTCCGTTGTGGTCGTACGCCGAGGACTGCCTGTCATCAAAATTTGAATGATTGGCAACTGGCATGTCTTAATGCTCTGTTCTGGGGTCATATAATCACCCTTTGTAACCTTCCCAGCTGGCTTCTAACAAAGAAAATCAATGGGAGAAGCCCGTTTCGCTTAACGGCCGTGTGATTCATTTAAAAACCAAGAAGGTCATAAAACGAGGCACCGCTCACTGAACCACTGTCCTGCAATGGAACATTTGAACTCAGTCGTGATTCTAAAAAGTTCAAGAACTCTCTGCATTTGGGTTTGTTTTGTTTTTTAATTTTGGAAATTTGTTTTAATTTGTTTTAATTTTTTGGCAGTACTTTAAAGCGTGTGGAGTTCCCGGACTCAATTTTTGGCATGTTTAAATGAACCAATTTTGAATTAGGTTATAAAACCTAAAACCTTGTGTGTGTCTCTATTCTAGGACATCTGTCCTCCAGCGGGGCTCTGTGAAGTCAAACCGACTTCCTGTGCTTCTAACAGTAGTAACTGGGAGAGGGGATTTCGGAGCCTTAGTAGACAACCATTTAAAATATAAGCCAGCAGTGTGCATCAGCTGCAAGAAAAGCCAACACAAGTTCTAGGTTGCATAAACAAAGGGATGGAATCAAGACCAAGTGGAGTGTTACTACCACTTTATTAGGCTTTGGTAAGGCCACCCTTGGAATCCTGCATCCAGTTTTAGTCGCCAGGATGTAAAAAAAGATGTTGAGACACTCTAGAAAGAGTGCAGAGAAGAGCAACAAAGAGGGTTAGGGGGCTGGAGGCTGAAACATATAAAGAACGGTTGCGTTGGGTATGTCTAGTTTAATGAAAAGGAAGACTAGGGTTAGCAGTATTCCAGTATCTCGGGGGCTGCCCCAGAGAAGAGGCAGTCAAGCTATTCTCCAAAGCACCTGAGCGGAGGACAAGAAGCAACGGATGGACACTAATCAAGGAGAGAAGCAACTTGGAACTAAGAAGAAATTTCCTGACAGTTAGAACGATCAATCAGTGGAACAACTTGCCTCCAGACGTTGTGAATAGAATAGAATAGAATAGAATAGAATAGAATAGAATAGAATAGAATAGAATAGAATAGAATAGAATAGAACACAATATAGAATAGAACACAATATAGAATAGAATAGAATTCAGGAATAGAATAGACTAGAATAGAGTAGAATAGAATAGAATATAGAAATAGAATAGAATTAGAATAGAATAGAATAGAATAGAATAGAATAGAATAGAACACAATATAGAATAGAATAGAATTCAAGAATAGAATAGACTAGAATAGAGTAGAGTAGAATAGAATATAGAAATAGAATAGAATAGAATAGAATTCAGGAATAGAATAGAAATCTTTATTGGGAATAGAACAGAAATCTATAGAATAGAATAGGAATGGAATAGGAATGGAATGGAATGGAATGGAATAGAATAGAATAGAATAGAATAGAATAGAATAGAATAGAATAGAATAGAATAGAATACCTTTATAGTCATTGTATTCCACGAATACAATGAAATTTGAAAGCTACTCCAGCACAGTGTCCCAAACACTACATCACAATCACACTACAGAGTTTTAAAAATTAAAATGATTATAATAATAATAAATAGGACTAAATCACACGTGCACTGTTTGATTCAAGACAATTCCTGCCTTGGAAAAGAAACTGTTTCTCAATCTATTAGTCCTCATTTTAAGACACCTATAATGCTCCAACACTGGAAGTTTTTAAAAAGATGTTGGATAACCCTTGGTCTGAAGTGGTGTAGGGTTTCCTGCTTAGGCAGGGGGTTGGGCTAGAAGACCTCCAAGGTCCCTTGCAACTCTGTTATTCCGTTCTATTCTAAACCCATTTACTTTGGTTTCCTCCTCTTCCTCCTTCCAGGGTTATATGAAGCCCCTGAAACAGCCGGAGAATTCCACCCTCTGTGACCCTTCGCTGGTGGACGAGATCTTCGACCAGATTCCCGAGTTGCTAGAACATCACGAGGAGTTTCTGGAGGAGATCTCCGATTGTGTTCAGAAGTGGCACGACAAGCAGAAAGTAGGGGAGATCCTGGTCCAGTCTGTGAGTATCGTTCCCACGTGCCACTTCCGACCTCCAGAGGAGAGGAGAGAGGAAGGCGTTGATGGGCCTGGCTTCTAGATCTTCATAAATGTTGGCTTGTTCTTGACGTGCCCAAAATTCCACATTCTGATCATCTTGCCCTTCCCCAGATCCGACAACAATTCCCTTCGCTTTCTTTCCACATCGGAGGACTCCAAACTTGGCCACTTTTAAGACTTTGTGGACTTCAACTCCCAGAATTCCCCAGCCAGCCATGCCTGCTTTTTTTTCTCTCTTAATCTCCTAAAGCGTAGAGAGATTGCAGAGGAAGGGATCACGAGAGAGCAAGCAATGCTGGCTGGGGAGAATTCTGGGAGTTGAATGTCCACAAGTCTTAAAGTGGCCAAGTTTGGGGACCCCTTTTCTACATAGATAACTCCTCTTGGTTCTTTCATCAATAGAAATGGGTTGCTTTATTCAGATTATCCATATTAAATAGAATACAGATTAAATTAAATGTCCATTGAGATGAGCAGCATATCCATTTCATAAATAAATTAAATAAAGAGCCACTAGGGACTATAGTAGTTAGAGGCACCAGGCTGAAAATGGGGAGATACTCAGTTCAAGTCTTAGGTATGAGAAGTGGTTGGGTAACTTTCAGGCCTAAGGCAGGACTAGAACTCACAGTCTCCTAGTGATTGGCCCAAAGTCACCCAGCCAGCTTTCATGGCTAAGGCAGGACTAGAACTCATCATCACCTGGTGATTGGCCCAAAGTCACCCAGATGGCTTTCATGCCTAAGGCATAACTACAATTCACCATCTCCTGGGTGATTGGCCCAAAGTCATCCAGCTGGCTTTCATGCCTAAGGCAGGACTAGAACTCACCGTCTCCTGGTGATTGGCCCAAAGTCACCCAGCTGGCTTTCATGCCTAAGGCATAACTACAATTCACCATCTCCTGGGTGATTGGCCCAAAGTCACCCAGCTGGCTTTCATGCCTAAGGCAGGACTAGAACTCACAGTCTCCTGGCGACTGGCCCAAAGTCACCCAGTTGGCTTTCATGCCTAAGGCGGGACTAGAACTCACCGTCTCCTGGTGATTGGCCCAAAGTCACCCAGCTGGCTTTCATGCCTAAGGCGGGACTAGGACTCACAGTCTCCTGGCGACTGGCCCAAAGTCACCCAGTTGGCTTTCATGCCTAAGGCGGGACTAGAACTCACCGTCTCCTGGTGATTGGCCCAAAGTCCCCCAGCTGGCTTTCATGCCTAAAGCGGGACTAGGACTCACAGTCTCCTGGCGACTGGCCCAAAGTCACCCAGTTGGCTTTCATGCCTAAGGCGGGACTAGAACTCACAGTCTCCTGGTGATTGGCCCAAAGTCCCCCAGCTGGCTTTCATGCCTAAAGCGGGACTAGGACTCACAGTCTCCTGGCGACTGGCCCAAAGTCACCCAGTTGGCTTTCATGCCTAAGGCGGGACTAGAACTCACCGTCTCCTGGTGATTGGCCCAAAGTCACCCAGCTGGCTTTCATGCCTAAGGCGGGACTAGAACTCACAGTCTCCTGGCGACTGGCCCAAAGTCACCCAGTTGGCTTTCATGCCTAAGGCAGGACTAGAACTCACAGTCTCCTAGTGATTGGCCCAAAGTCACCCAGCTATTTTTTCTATACCTGAGACAGAACTAGAACTCACCATCTCCTGGTTCCTAGGTCAGCACCTTAAGCAGAATACCAACTTGGCTCTTCATTGATCCAATTCTGGTCTGCACCTCCATGATTAACTGGGCCTAAAGGTGCTTCTTCGCTTTTTGAGGTTAACCAAGGTTGGCTTTCTCCTAGCTTCGCATTTGAATCCAGGGATTAGGTTTCAACAGTAATAAGGTTGTGTTTGGAAGGCAATAGATGGTGACTCAGAGACGTCATGTCATTGGTTAACTCAAAATCTGATTTTAGCAATCCCTTGGGAAAAATATTCTCCGGCTTACAGAGCCACCTGGTGCGTCAAATGCTCCAGCTGGTAATTCACGTGGGAGATTTCTCGTAAGTTGGTAAAATTGTGGATTTTTTTTGTTCAGCTTGGCATGGCTCTCAACGGTTCTCATGGGTTCTTCCTTCTGAGTAGCCCTAGGTAGCACAGGTAGGCCTCAACGTACGACTGTCAGGATTCCGGCATTTACCCCAATTAAATCATGAGCCAAGCTTCAAAAACTTCAGAGGATTTATTAGGAGTGAACATGTCGGCATGACCTGGATGAAACCTGTGATGACCCAGAGTATAACACAAAAATAACCAAGTCACAAAAAATAGAAGAAAGTCCCTTTAATGCCTCCAACTTGGCCCCAATGTCCAATTATCCTCGGCTGGATATCAAACCCTTAAAGAAAACAGTTTGCGGAGGGAGTAAATGCAGTCCAGCCCAAAGTAAAGTTAATTCGAAATAAAAAACCCAACACACTACACTGAAGGAATTACTACAGGCAGGCAAGGATGATTAATTGCAGACTTCTACCAGGTAACGCAGCAACCAAAGTTGGGAGGAAGCCAAAACACAGATAAGCTCCGAAAAAGAATGCACGCTTTGCTTCCAGCAACTTTGCCATGCGCAGTTTGTCCTTTTAACCAGTCCTCCCAGCTGCAGCCAGTGAAGGGGATCAGGGCCCCTTCCTCTCCTGTAGACCGTGCCACTCACATTGCTCCCTTATCCGCTCCTCCCTGCGTGCCCTAGGATGAAGACAGGGTGGGCCTGGGTCTTCCTCTGACTTCCCAGCCGGCCTGTTCCCTTCCCCAGTTTCCTCCACAACCTCCAGAGCCACACTCCCACTCCCTGTTAGCTGTTCCTCCTCTCCCTCCAAGTCAGACTCCGACAGGGGCATGACAAAACCACAATTGACCCCTAAAATTCCTGTTGCGAAGTGAAACATTTGTTAAGTGAGTTTGCTCCTTTTTTACGAGTTTTCTTGCTTAGCCAAGTGTTCCAAATTTTGATCCTACGACCGTGGGGATGGTGCAACGGTCGTTAAGTGGTGAAAAGGGTCATAAATTGGTTTTTGGAATGCTGTTGCAGCTTCGAAGAGTCACTATGAACTATAAACACTATAGTTATAAGAGAACTATCTCTTTTTTTTTTTTAGCTTTTATCCCAGAGCTATAATTGCACTGAACAATGAACTTAAAGAACCACCATCAGTGAGCTGTTGAACAGGATTACTTGGTCTGTTGGGTGGATGCTTGTGTGTTTTTAGGAGGCAGGGAATTTTGGTGGGTAGGGTGGTGTTTGGGGATTGTCGTGTGTGTGTGTGCATGTTGAGTCTGGTCTCTGGGTGTTATGTGAATTTTGTTGTATGTGTATGCTGTGTATATACGTACAACGACAATAAAGAATTCAATTCAGTACCATTCAATCTGTAATTGCAGAATTTTCTATCTGCGTTTGGCTTAGCTGAGCTCAAAAAAATAGGGCAACACCTGGAGGTTTGCTTGGCAGCTGGTTTCTTCTTGTATGATGGTTAGCCCATCACTCTGAGATCTCCTGGTGGTCCCCCATCCTATTCATTTACTTACTTAATCATCAAATTTATAGACCTGCCCATCTTACAAACAAGGCTAGCTATGGCTACTTGACAGTGCTGTGTTTGATATAGCCTCCTTATTATAAATAGTCCTTGAGTTATGACCCCAGTGAGGCCAAAATGTATGTTGCTAAGTGAAACATTGGTTAAGTGAGTTGTGCCCCATTTTACAAACTTTCTTACCACAGTTGTTAAGTAAAACATTACAGTTGTTAAGTGAGCAATATGGTTGTTAAGTGAATCAGGCTTCTCTGTGGACTTGGCTTTGTCCGACGGTCACAAAAGGGGATCATGTGGTACCCAGGGACACTGCAACTGTCATAAATATGAGTCAATTGCCAAGCATCTGAATTTTAAACAGGTGTCCGTGGGGATGTTGCAATGGTCACAAGTGTGAATAATGGTCATAAGTCAATTTTTTCAGTGCCGTTCGCGAGCCTAGCACCCAGAAGGCAATGCGCGCACCCCCCACCAATCACTTCCCGCCCACTTACCTGCACTGCACCTCACAGCTGATTTTCAGCCCATTTGGGGCCTTTTTCGGCCTCCCAGAGGTTTGAGAAAAGCTTCTGCAGGCTTTGCAGGCCAAAAAATGGGCCCATTTCATCACTTCCGGTATTTCCGGAAATACAGGAAGTTGACAAAATGGGCCTATTTTTCAGTCTGCAAAGTCTTTCCTCAAGCCTCTGGGAGGCCGAAAAAGGCCTCAAATAGGCCGAAAATTAGCTGTGAGGTGAGCGCATGCACAGTGAGGTCAGTTTGCCTGCAGCTCGCGTACTGGCACAAATGGCTCGCGTACTGGCACAGGTTCGCCATCACAGTCCTAGGTGAATACTGACAAATATATTGCAACAATGTTAGTTTCCTACCCCTAATTAGGATTGCAAAAAAAAAAAAAAAAAATGGCTGCCAACCTGCCTTCCATGGAGAACCTGTATATACTGCACGAGTCCAAAAGAGGGCTGTGAAAATATCTACAAACCCCTCACATCCCTGGACATAAACTGTTTCAACTCCCACCCTCAAAACAACGCTATAGAGCCCTGCACACCAGAACAACTAAACACAAGGGGAGTTTTTCCCCCCAATACCATCACTCTGCTAAACAAATAATTCCCTCAACACTGTCCAACTATTACAAAGTCTGCACTACTATTACTATTAATCTTCTCATCACTCCTTATCACCCATCCCACTTGTGACTGTATGACTGTAACTTTGTTGTTTGTATCCTAATGATTTATATTGACTATTTCCTAGTATGATTTGATGGCTTGTTGCACCCTATGACGATTATTAAGTGTTGCACCTGATGATTCTTAACTCTTGACAGATGTATCTTTTATGTATACAAAGAGCATTTGCATTAAGACAAATTCCTTGTGTGTCCAATCACTCTTGGCCAATAAAGAATTATTCTTCTTCTTGAATCTATTTTGAAGTGATTGGCATGTCATCTATCTACTATATTAATGGGAAAATAGTTGACAAGGTAGAACAACAGCAAAATTAAAATTTCAAAACCCTCCGCTAACAATCGATTATTTCTATTTAACTTGCAGGAAGTTTACCACGGCTTCTTACCTCTCCCCAAATCACCCCAGTTGTTAACTCTGATCCTTTTTTGGATCAAATATCCCCGTTTCCACATTTGTTAATTCTCTCTCTCTCTCTCTCTCTCTTATATACATATAGTTTTCCAAAGACATCTTGGTGAATATTTATTCTGCCTACATCGATAACTTCCTAAACGCCAAAGATGCCATAAGGATCGCCAAGGAAGCCCGGCCAGCGTTTATGAAATTTCTGGCGGTAAGAAGTCCTTCTGACTGTCCTGCTTTCACTTCTTGTTGGACAGAAGCCTTCTAAGAAATGATGAACTTCCAGATAATTAGTTCTGCCCTGTGCTTCTCTCTGTTTTGTACTTTCTTTCTTTCTTTTTCCCTTCTTTTCTTCCTTCCTTCTTTCCCTCACTTCCTCCTTCATTTCTCTTTCTTTCTTTCTTTCTTTCTTTCTTTCTTTCTTTCTTTCTTTCTTTCTTTCTTTCTTTCTTTCTTCCTTTTTCTCTTTTTCCCTTCCTTCTTCCCTCCTTCCTTTCTCTTTCTTTCCTCCCTCCCTTTCTTTTCTTTCTTTCCTTCTTTTTTCCATCTTCTCTTTTTCCCTTCCTTCCCTCCTTCCCTCCCTCTCTTTCTTTCTCCCTCTCTCTTTCCTTTCTTTCTTTCTTTCTCTCTCTCTCTCTCTTTCTTTCTTTCTTTCTTTCTTTCTTTCTTTCTTTCTTTCTTTCTTTCTTTCTCTACTTCTTATGTCTGTTTTTTAAAAGGACTTTATGGCTGTTTGCATCTTCTTGGATTGTAGTCATTAACGAGGCTCGTTAGTTTGATGCATGTTACCGCCTTGCCCAATCAAATGTCCTGGGATCTACATATCCCACAATCCCTTAACCTTGGCCATATTGACTGAGGGATCCTTGGTGCAACCCTCAGCTTGGTTATTTCTCGCAGACATTTCATTACCAAACTAGATAACGTCATCATCATAAAAGTCACCCAACTGGCTTTCATGCCTAAGGCGGGACTAGAACTCACCGTCTCCTGGTGATTGGCCCAAAGTCACCCAGATTTCATGCCTAAGGCGGGACTAGAACTCACCGTCTCCTGGTGATTGGCCCAAAGTCACCAGTCAGCTCTCATGCCTAAGGCAGGACTAGAACTCACCGTCTCCTGGTGATTGGCCCAAAGTCACCCAGATTTCATATGTCTAAGGCTGTATTAGAATTCTCTGTCTCTTGGTTTCTAGCCTGGTGCCTTAACTACTAGACCAAACAAGTCACCTTTTAGTTGGGAGATATTTAAGTCTCTCTCTTTTTTTTTTTAATTCTTCGTTGCTCCCTGTAGCAAAGCATGAGGGAAAACAAAGAGAAACAGGCCCTGTCCGATCTCATGATCAAACCAGTGCAACGAATTCCACGCTACGAACTTCTGGTCAAAGTGAGTATTTGAAGCACGGTGGTTGATTTAGCTCAAAGGAAACCACGACCGAAGAGATCAGGAACAACGGCGTTTTTAACCTGACTTCATACAGGAGTCTACCCAGGTAGTCTACAATCACAATCAAGCCCCGAAATTCACTTTGCTAAGTGAAACAGTTGTTAAGGGAACTTCGCCCCCATTTTACGACTTGTCTTGCCACCATTGTTAAGCGAATCCCGACGGGTGTTAAGTTGGGAAGTGACTTTGCTAAGGTGGCAAAAGGGGATCGCGTAATCCCGGGAACTCTTATGACCATCCGTAAATGTGAGTCGGTCGCCAAGCCTCTGAATTTCGGTCCTGTGACTGCAGGGATGCTGCAACGGGTCGTAAGTGTGGAAAAAATAGTCCTGTTTTCAATGCCGTTGTAACTTGGAACCGTCACTCAATGGATGATTGTAAATCGAGGACTAGCCCTGATGTTATTTTTTAAGCTCCTAATATTAGCCTTATTTTCATTTTCTTAGTTTTGGGTTTCCTTTCTTCTGTCTGTTTTACTTCTCTGTATTTTTCAAACCGTGACAATTA